GTTATGAAAATCCTTATTTACAGCTAGCTGCCTGGCTGTGTGAAGTAGGTCACAGCAGCTCCTGAAATGGAACAAACCTCGCTCACACAGTTTATACTTTTCTTTTGAATGTTTGCAGCCTTACACAGGCACCTGAGGGGGAAACACAGACACACTGTTTTGAACTCCTCCTTAGCAAGAGACTCTTGACCCTAATGTTACAAATGTGTCTGCCCCCAAGTCCAACTTTTACCTGACAAAACAGATACATAGACTGCAGACATCCACGCAGAGCCTGTAAATATCAGGACAGAGGGTTAATGATAATAATAATAATAATGGGTTTCATTTGTAACGCACTTCATATTTGAAGACAAATCCCGAAGTGCTACAAGCAGTTAGCATGGAACAATATAAAACAGCACAGAACACGTTAGAATGAATAGTCAAAAACCTGTAAAAAAGGGTAGTAACAAATAAAAGGTCTAGGAAAAGGCTCTATTGAAAAGATGGGTTTTGAGGCCTTTTTTAAAAGCATCCAAAGGTTAACTAGTTATAATATTAGTAACGTTCCAGGAGTTGTATTTCCAAAACGTTGACCAGTGTATCCTCTATCTGAAATGGCCTCTACAATCTTACCATGAAAGGAGGCAGAGCCAACAGCCTAGATTTAGTCAGGATGCCACCTTGCAACAAATGATCGCAATGGTCTACAGGTCAGGCAGGCTTTATGCTCATCATCATATGCTTAGACATTTGCAACTGATGCAATATGTCTGGCTGTGCTGGATAGGTGTGGGGCCTAAGTGTAGGTGAGCGCTGTCCCCTAGGGTGATGGATGCCTGTGGGAGGCTGTTATGCCACAAGGTGAAAATGTCCATTAATCAGCCTACTTCCTCCATTGCCGTGGCTTTCCCATTACCAACGCACTCCGAGCGGGCTGATTGGTTTTTAATTGGCCTGCCGGCCAGGAGATAGATCATGTTTTCCCCGAGGAAAGGCACAGAGGTGTGTGTGTGTGTTGTGTGTGTGTGTGTTCGTGTGTGTTGTGTGTGTGTGTGTGTGTGTGTGTGTGTGTGTGTGTGTGTGTGTGTGTGTGTGTAAGATGGGGGGCACCCGTGCTATCTCTGGAGGGATGCCGACACTGAAATTCTCTATTTATACCTATTTTACAAGAGAGAAAATATCGACATGGTCACCTGTCACGTGTTATATTACAACTTTAGCCAGTAACAAGTAGGCTTGCCACGTGGTTAGTGTTACTGGTGGTACATGTTTTTATAAGGCATACATCAAATATATTATTTTCCCACTGCTGCCACCGTCGTTTAACCTTTTTAAACGAAATAAAACACATTGTATTTGTTTTCTAATGGAACTTATCAGTGCCCACATTCAGAAATGTTTGTTTATGTTTTTTGTTAATATGTTGTCCCACTATGGATGCTTCTATTATAAAGTGCAGAAGGAGAGTAGCTAATCATCTACTTACCATTGTAAGAGAGCAAGGACAGTTAATGGATTCGGTGTCAAAGAATTTCAGTTTTTCAACAAGTCCAAGTCAAGACATCTTAGTTACTAAATACAGTTGTTTGGAAATGTAATAATATTACCAACAGCTGTTAAAAATACAGAATTTTGGTCTTGACAATGAATGTATCATAATTGATAGCCTGACAAGCGTGGCGAGGATGTATGTGTGAAGGACACACGAGCAGCTTCATCTCACACTGAGTAGACGTCAGTATTGACATTGTGCTCAAATAGATCAATCCCCTCTCCGCCCTGGCCTGACCACGTCATTGAGGCTGATTGGAAGAACACATTGATTACCTGCGGTGTCTTCTCACAGGCTCACAAGGATTTACATTCACAACACAACCACAGGCTGATCCTTCTAGCCATTGGGCAAGTAAGAATGAGAACAAATATAAGTCCTCCAGAAAAATGATATACAAGAGGAAATATTAAAAAATAATCCCAGCTGCTGCTTAATTGATTTGTATCAAGCTCTGATTCATCGTTAAGGAGAGAGAGCAGACAGCCTCCGTGGCGTGGGCAAATATACTGCAGGCCAGCCCTTCTGTCGGTGCACCACAGTCGAGCGTCAAGGGCAGGTTATGTTAGAAGGCCAGCCTGTAAGCCTGTCTTAGCCTTCACCACAGGGAGAGAGTGTGATCTGCACTGTGGCGGGGAGATAGCTCCTGGTGTGGAGCTGGAGGTAGCACCGAGCTACCGAGAGTTGTACAGCAGAGGTATTTTGAGAGACTGGTCACAGGTCCTTGGTTTACACAGGAAGTTCGTAAAATACAATTTACTAGAAGTACATTTGTCATGGTAATGTTACAATGCTCTGTTGTATATATCTTTTTTTATATTGACAACTCTTCTCCATAGTGTGAAATGCATTTCTTCTGAAACACACAATGTCAGCAGCCGCTTCCTTTTAGCATGCCAGCACGGAGCTTCACACTGAAGGCGAATGAGCTTCACACTGTTCTCTCCTGATCCCACCCCCCTTCATGAGGAAACCCCAACCAATGCATGGGAGATGATATTACAGGACAAGAATGCCATCCATCACTGACTTTCCACACATTCTGCTGATTGGCTTGGTGGTAATTAAATATCTTTCTTATGTAAAAGGTAACCCCAACATCATATCATTTTACACTGCATCGGATTTACCTCAACATTCAAGCCCAGCAATACTAATATGTAAATATGTACAGTTAGTAATTAATCAACAAATAGTTTTTTTTGGTGAATTCAATTTTGACTGTGGTTCCATATTGGTCAAGGGAGTTGCAAAGTCTAGCATGAATGCAGAGTCATGGCTAGTGAATGGCTCAGACATGCTAAGCATAGCGTGTGCATGTGGGATCCAGCCACTCAACATGGAGGCTAATATTAGCGCATGGCTGCCCCCACTCCCCAAACCCGCTCCTGCCGATCGCATGCGGGGGATCCCCAGGAGGCTTTCTGCTGCTCATTCATTAGGCTGCTGAGGAATACGGGACATGCGGTATCTCCCACGCAACGCTGCAATAAAGACCCCCCACCCATCCAGCCATTAGACTAGGTTTGTAGCTGTATATGTTTTTTTAAATCTGCAGTTTTTTTGTCATATTTTAATAATTTAACTGACATAGATACAATTGAAATGACTAACAACAAAAATACCAGCGGAGAGGCAGGGAAAACTCCCACACGTAAAAGTACCTGAGTACAGTGCATCAATACATTTCTTGACCTTACAGTCCATATTCAGCAATTCCATCAACACCCAATTTCCTCTCCCCTCCAGCTCTGACGAGACTGTTGTGGTTATGAGGGGCTGGGTTCGTTTACTTTCACATCAGAGAGAGAGGGAAACAGAATAGAGCAGGGGGTTCCTACAATCTTGGTCACAGTAAGACCCGACTAGCGTGCTTTCCCTCTATAATTGAATCCCATTCAGCGGTCTCCCTGTCCTCGGCTCGCTCCGCAAAGCAGATCAGGCACCGCGGTGGCACGAAACACGCACACGCTCTCAGCACACCAAATGAGTCTCTCACTGACAAACAAGGCATTTTCTTCGTCTTCCAGCTAAAGGGACATCCCCAAGAACATGACTTCACCTCATGCCAACATGCGTGCTTTACACAACGCTCTGAAAGAAGAGCACTGAAAGACACTGTACTAAATACAAGAGCTTGAAGTGAAACATTAACTATCTGCTGGAAATCATGAGAGGATGGAATAACGATTCACCGGCTTGTCTCTTACAACAAAAGAAATGTAAAAGACTGAGATCAGACTACAACTATAAAACGATAAGGAGTACGAATACCAAAAATGATATTGTGATAACTATGCCCATATCCTGTAGAAAACCTGTTTGGTGTGAGGAACACGCTGTTAAATTCCCACACAGTATCCTAGATGTCAGCAAACATTGTCACCATTTGTTGACATGAGAAACATTCCTTTTGACACACTTTGGGCCAGACACAAGTACATCACTTTGTATCAGAGCTTTGTTTGTCTTGACAGAATGAAACATGTTGCAGCGCATCTGCTTACTGCTGTGTACAGTATATGCCACCCACGGGAGCACAGGCACGCTCACGCAACATCTGCATTGTATTTTCTTAAATGCAAATCACAAAAGGATTGTGTGTTAGGTGACATATAGACCGAGTTCACATGTGTGTGCATGTGTGTGTGATGTGTTTGTATGATTGCAACACAACCAAAGAGTTCACTGTATTTCAATTTCTTTACTCGACTCTGTTCCAACTTCTAGGTCTCTCTTTTCTCTCCCTCAGTCTCTTCTCCGTCTCTATTTCCACTGCCTCTAATTGTTTTCTGGCAGTCAAAGTGTCTCCCTTCCCTGGATGCCAAACTGTTTCCTCCAAAAGCTCAAAGTGATAGCAAATCAAACAGGGCAAAACATGAGGGAATGATTTTAGTAAAGATACAAAGAAAAAACCCTACCCCCTAACACAGGAACAAAATGACAAAAATAATATAACTCAGATCATATCAAAATATGGTTGGATCAAACAGTATAACACATCTACAGTGATAGCAAGTACCTTATGAAAAGTGTCCTTTTCTCTTTCCAACACAGCTGAAGTTTGCAGTGCACCATTATCTACAGCAGGAGCACAACACTTACAGAACAAACTTTGAAACAAGTGTTCGCATTTGGCCTCTACTTCAACATCCTCTTTGTGAATCCAAACTGCATTTCATAGGCAAAACATATTTTCAGTAGATGACGCAATTGTTCAAAACAATGTGAGATAAACATAATATTAGCCTTTCCCGACAAACACAACCAGAACAATAAACTCACCAAATCACCTCAGCCAGCTGTTACTTTATCTCACTTAAATCACTGCACCAGAACCATAAGGTTACAATATGAATGCTGAACAATACATCTGAACAATTAGTACCACTATAACAACAAATGATACTGAGAAAACTGTGTAGAAGACACGAGACGCTGTACACAAGCACATGTCACCTACCAACTGCCGTCTTCTCTTGAAACTTTTTCCTCCTGCGCTCCAGAATGCGCTTCCTGTCCTTTTTAGTCTTTCTTTGACTTCTCTCCCTTACTCTCTCCCTATTCACTCACTGTGCTCACTGCAAAGTTCTGCTCTCTTCCTGCATGCAAATCATTTTTACGACTTGAAAGATGACTGGGAAGGAGGGAAGGAGGGAGAGCAAAAGGGAGGAAGGATGACAGAGGGGTGGAGGAGTAGAGATAATGGTTGGAAGGCAGGCGACCAATGGGCCTGGAGCCTAATGGAAAAAGGGAATCAGGACACACCAATGAGGCGCAGCCTGGAGAGAGAGAGTGAGAGAGAGTGAGAGAGAGGGAGAGAGAGAGAGAGAGAGAGAGCAGAGGAAACAGGCGAGGGAAGCGGGGATGGCGAGAGCACAGTCTGGAGGAGACGGTGTAACGCAGACCGAGTGAGACACTGAGGGAGAGAGAGAGGAATAGAGAGAGGGAGAGCAGAGCTGTACATAGCGGGTGTGCGAGGTAGGTGGAGAGAGACGACCATCCCAAGCGAGATGGAGAAAGTGTTGATCAGAGAGGAAGAAAGAAAAACACAAAGAAAAAGGAGAAGAAAGAGCAGAACGGGAAGCCAGACAGGGTAAAAAGGAAGGAAGTGACTTACCTGGGTGCTGCTAGTGGCATCCTTCACACGCCGCCTCGCAGACTCCACACACACATGTACACATGCACCCAGCCCGGCGATTCAGGCACACGCCGCGCTGCCGCTGAGACTAACCAAAAGCTAAAACAACAAAGGAGAGGACTGCCAAAGCCGACTGGTATACCCTAAAGCAACCGTGCCTGTGTGTGTGTGTGTGTGTGTGTGCGTGCCTTTGTGTGTCTATGTGTGTGTCTGCGTGGAAGTGTGTGAGAGTGCCGGGGAGAAGAGGTGGGAGTGTGTATGAGCATGTGTTAGTGCTGGGATGCGAGGGAGAGATGGTTGAAGGAAGCTGAAATGCTCTCTCTCCTTTCTCAGAGCTATACGCTGAACTGGTTTCCTCCTCTCTCTCTCTGTTTCTTTTTACCTCTATGTGTATCTCTCTCTCTCTGTGCACTGTGCATGCATGTCCTCCAACACTCAATACGTTCCCTCTCTCTCCTTTGCTCTCTCTCTGCCTGCTGATGTGCCCTCCCTTCCCCTTCTCGCTCTTATACATTTATTCAGGGCTGCAGACTGTCTGCTCCCAGAGTCAGTTCTTCCCACGGGCCCCGGGTAGAGAAGGGGGAGGGAGGGAGGGGAAGAGAGGAGAATAGAGGAGGGAAGGGGGTGATAGTGAGCCATGTGGAACATGTGCAGTGCATTTATTTCAAATGGAAGAGACACAAATGTGTGTCTTTAAAAAAGGCAAAATGAGCTCCACTCTGGTTTCGGTGCATTTGGCCTGGGATCATTCAGAGAGCTGAGAAATGCAGGATGAAAACTTAAAGGAAGCGTCTGGCTGATCGCTGGCTTGCTGTTAATTAACACTTGTCCCCCCCCCATCCCAGGCTTCGAGGCTGGCTGAGCACCAGAATTAAGAGCACAGAAGATGAATGAGTGTTGAAACAGGCTAGCTGCAGCCACGTGTTCAGTGATGAGCGCTGGTAATGCACTGCTCCCAAACAGCAGACAATATTTACAATATAATCATGTTCGAACCATAAAGAGGGTGACATTCACGCGCACTCTTGTGTGAATGGAAATAGAAATAACGACGTGATGATTTCCATATTTACCCAGATATGCAAACACAGAGAATGCTAATTTGATCCCTGAGACATCATCATAATTAGATTATAAATTAGGTTTATTTTCTTACCGGACAAGAGGTGCTAATTCATTCATTTTCCACCAGTGGGGGGGGGGGGGGACTTCTCATCAGAGAAAGTCATTATCCATCCTACAGGCAGAACAGAATATTGGAGACTTCTCATATGCTCATCTGACAGCACCAAGCAATAACATATTCAAACACGTTCATATTTACACATAAATATTCAGGATAACATTCAAAGACATTGGCCTATGCTTTGCTCTTCCAATGCTATGGAGTGTATATGAGGCACATTGTTTTGATCTTCCCTATAGCAGTAAACAAATGCAATGCCATACAGCAGTATTTTACAGAACCAACAAGCACTGCTCGCTCCAACAATGCTGCCAGGCAGTAGAGGAAGGCATGATAAGTACTCTAGTGGGTTGGGACACAGATTCACCTCAGGGTGTTCAATATTAGCTATTTCAAATTCTTATTTGGCTATGCTAATGCCAATCAAGCACAATTAATTTACCCCACATTCCTAAACAAATAAACAAAGGGGTAAAATGTGCCTGAATAGGGAAAATGCCACAATTTCACTAGCAAGAGATGGATGTGTAGGCAGTTATTGTATTATAATACAGACTCATGTATCAGCGTACAACCAGAGCTCTCACTAATACAGCAGAGCAGGGCTGGCTGTTAAAACCTGGATATGACTAGAATTTTCATTTTTTAATTATGTATTAAATATTGGGTTCCTTAAGATGAACATTCAAAGGAATCAGCCTGTGGTTGAAATGTCTGCAGAAGATGTTTGTAGATACATGAAATGGGAATTGTGTTACTTTTCTAACTAAGACCAACAGTCTTACAAATGTAATGACATGTGTGTGAAACAAAATGTTGCATATTCAAAACTATAACGCACAATAACACATTTAGATATAGATTTTGCCAGCTAGATATGTTTTTAATCGCTGGAGTATTTCTATAAAACATATAAAAGTAGTTTTTTATACAAGCAAAAGGTTGTTTTATATAATTTTTTAGGATAAATTAAAAAACCTTATAACCCTGTATCACAGCGACGCCCATTCACAGGTGTAACTAATAACATGAATAGTTGCATGTTGTTTGGGTGTGCAGGTGCCAAGGTCCTGCCATTATGCCTGTTGGCTCAGTGGGACCTAATTAACGCCATGACTTACACCTGTGCTTTTACATTACTGCTATAACGAGCCAAAACCGTCCTTATTGGTAAAGGCCAATTTAAATGCTTGTTTTTTTACACAAAATATGCAAAATAAGCTATTTTACTTATTATCAAAACATTTTAAACACGTTTTACTTTGCAACTAGTTTACTCACCTTCACGGTAATTTAGCTAAGGCAAAAAACTAGCTAAAACCAGTTTTTCACGGAACAGTCACGAGCCACCTTCCAAATAATCCAGGGAAGCAACATAGCCTACGTGTCAAAAAAGTATGGCTAGTAATGTAAAAAAAACACAATAGTTTGGTCGGAGATGCAAAAATGTTGTAATACTTTTTCTCAAACGTTAACGTTAGCTAATTACTGTAACGTCAACTACCAGTGAATACGCAGGAACACTTTTATTTTAGGATCAATTTAAGGTCACTTACCAAGTATGACGGTACACTCTTTGAGGAGATATGCAGAGCAGAACGTTTTTAGCGTTAAATTACATGTCTTGTTGCAGAGATGGGGACTCGAGTTTGTGACTCGAGTCGCACTTAAATCGCACAAACAGAGACTTCAGACTTGACTTGGACTCCTGCTCAAAAGACTTCGGACTCGACTTGGACTCGTGTTTTGGGACTCGTGAACAATCATTGTGTTTTCTATTTTTGGCGTATTAAAGGTGGGGTAGGTAAATTTGAGAAACCGGCTCGAGATCGCTAGAATTTGAAAATACACAACCTCCAACATACACGAACGCGCACATGACCAATGAGGGCACGAGATCAGTTTGTGCCCCGATGGAAGGCTGACAGGCAGGTAGGCTATCCAGTTACTTTAGCCGGGCCGGCTATCGGGATGTTAAGAGCATTCCATGGAATATAACAAAAAGTGTATCTCGAGCCGGTTTCTCAAACGTACCTACCCCACCTTTAACATTAACATCATGGTAACACCATGGCGACCGGCGGCACACCTGCAGCTGTACCGCTTGTAATTAAGTTAAACTATAAAAACGTCGAACAAAACGCCGGCGGCACCAACAAAAGGAGCGCACACTGCAAAGTCTGCAATATTAAAATCAAGGATGCTGGTGCAACAACGTCAAATTTCATCAGGCACTTGAAAAACTCACCCGGAGAGGTCAGTCACAGGTTTAGCTCAGCATCAGCTATGTAATGTTAACTTAGCTTGCTACTAGCTTTGTAACTGAATATTTGAAAAGACGAGTGAATGTTTGCTTGTCACACTTGTTTGCGTTGAGTGGCGTTGACATCCAACTCTTGACATGACATAAAAAAGGTCGGTAACGTTAATCATTACGTTCCGCTGCCACCATCTACTAGCTAACGTTAAACGTAGAAAAATACATAGTTACATACATAAATACATCTGTCGGTTTATAGGCAGGTTACAGGTTTATTGTTGACCACGTAACGTTAATGTTACAGGTTTATCAGGTTACCATTACACTGGGTTTGAGTGAGAGGATAGAGGAATATGTTTATTTATAGTAGACTTAAAAGATGTAATTAGAGACCCAGTGTAATTAAACAATACGGTTGCAGAGGTCAAATTTTAACATTTTTGTCCACTGGCCAAATGGCTAGCCTAGTGAATGTTGAAATGTTACCAGCCACTCAATAGATTGTCATTGTTATTTTTGGCTGGTGCGTGCAACATACAGTACCAGCCACTTGCATGATTTACCAGCATTTGGCTGGTAAATGGTGTTAATGGTAGATATCTCTTTTGGAACAGGTCATGTTTTAATATCACCAGTTCAGTATATTTCAGATAATATTGCAGCAATAGTTTTTTAGTTGCAAATGGCACAGAACAAATGTTTACTTTTAAGTACTTTTAACACAGTTTCCCTGCGGGAGATTAATACAATTTGTGATACTGATTTTTGATTCTGAAGTGTTTTGCTTATCAGTTGTTTGCATTTAGCTAAAGTGTGATGTTTTTCCTCATATTGCATTGCAATAGCCTGTTTAAAGTGATCATATAACAAACAACTAATCAGTACTGATAGTGTATGCTAATAGATATAGGTAGGAGTGATAATAATACAGTAAATGCTTTGAATTTCTTAGATATAGTTGTGCAGTATTCTTAACAGACTGGATAGCAGCAGACAATAGAAGGCTTATTACAACCAGAAGAGACATGAGACTTTTATTTTTTAGAGACTTGAGACTTGACTTGGACTTGTGACCAAAGACTTGAGACTTGATCAAGTCTCACCCCACAAAGACTTGAGACTTGACTTGGATTCGTGACCAAAGACTTGAGACTTGACTTGGACTTGCAAAAAAATACTTGTGAACATCTCTGTCTTGTTGTTACTGTAATAACTTTCAAAACTATACGGGTACAGGCAGTGGTGAAGTGGGGATTTTTTTACTGGGTGA